TAAAAGGTTACCACACTCATATTCAATTACTAACATAAAAGAATTGTTTAGGCATCGCTACATGAATCATTACTCAAGCTGTTATGTTTTGATAAACATGCGGTGATGAAAGGAATGTATGTCTACATATCTTTGAAGAATAATTTTCTTTCTCTTCATGTATTCAGTTTCTTTCTTCAACAGGTTTCCTTTTCATTTTAGCATTATTGGATTTAATTACAGATATCTGTTATTCTAAAAAAAGTAAATGCATTTAGAATGTATAGAAAAAGCTGCTAATTTTATTTCTTCATAATATGCACATTCAGAAGAAATATGAAATATATATGGTAACAGCCAATTACAGAGCTAGTGTGGCAGAATTTTCTTAATTTAGTGACACACCGATCAACAAAATCTAGAAATGGCAAAACTTTTAGAACTTACAGCAGGCAGTGGGAGCAGAATTAGAAAGGCACTAAACAGCAGAATTTAGGATCCACAGAAATTGCATCAGGTGGAAAAATGCCTAGCGCCAGCCCTGTGTATGATGCATTCAGACATATTAATGAATCATTTTAACTGCCAGTTTTCAATTTCTTTATTAACAAAAAAATTCCTGCCTATAATGCCTGTCCATGTTATAAGTTCAGAAGCATTTTTGACATTTTCCATGCTTGAGTCTAGTGAAAAGTAGAGAAAATAAAGGGAAGATTCTAGTATCAAAAGTAAAATATTACGATTTCATTTTCTTCCAGATGTTCTCCAAAAAGTAAGAAATTCATCGCAAACTTTCTGTAAAAAGCATCCATTACAGGCTAATATCATGGAGACATTTTTTTATTTTGACACATTATTCTAGAATCTTCTTAAATTGAGGGGTTTATAAATCTTACTTTCAAATCCTTCTAAACTTTCCAAGCTGCAATGTCTAAAATCCTAAAGAAAAAATTACCCCTACCAATTTTATAACAGCAAAAAGCCAAAAATATTTTGGGGAGAAAAAACAGAGGGAAAAAGATGTAAAATTAACTTTACAGAGAAAAATGATGCATATTCTCAGAATTCTGAATATTCTGAGACAACTGCAAGGGAAAAACTTTTACTATGAAAAAATTAAAAAGAAGACATTTTTAATTAATTACATAGGTATTTTCCTTTTGCTAAGAACTGTTTTGTAAATTGTGCATAGCATTATACCTTTTCTATTTTTCAGAATCAAAATATTATATAATAAGTGGTCAAAATAGAACTTTAACACAGCAAAAAATAAAAATGTTTTAGTTTAATGTTATTTTTTATGTATAATTTCAAAGTATTACCATTATTTTAATGGAATTTATCAATGTTACAATGTTTTTAAAACTCGTTGAAAAATTCCCAGATCTCGGAATTAAAAATTTCCTATAAAAACTTATCTTAAAACCAACCAAAATGTTGGTAATTCACCAAATTTAGAGCCGTTAAATAAAAGAATTCCCATCGCCAAAAGCAAAGAGTTGTTTAAGAGCTTGGCTAATCTTTAGAATATGGTAACAGGTAGTTTGGCGACATTTTGGTAAGGTGATAAAGGTTACTAGCTAGGACTTTAGCAATAATCTGAGAAGTACACAGTTCGAATCACAGATTATTTTGTCTCAGAGAAATGAGAGATCATGAGACATGTAATGTGACATTTTCCGGAAAATTCCAATGGGGATTTAAGCTAATAAGCACTTAAAAACAATTTTGCTGCTAAAGCGCAGAATCACCCACTTATTTGTTTGGCGCTTTTTACAAGAGTAAGAAGAATTGGATTTTTGTAAATTTTCTTTGACTTTTTAAGTGAAAATAGGTCAATGTGTGCATGGATAAAGTCAAGAGTGTGCACAATGCCATTTTTGTACAATTCTGGGATGTTTTTTTAAGTGAAAATAGGTCGACGTGTACATGGATACTGTCTATATGCAATTCTTGTTTAATCTTTGGATTATGGTAACTTGGCGATTTTTTGGTGAAAATTTGGCGACCAACCCTGCTACAGCAACCTTCTAGTTTTTGTTTGGAAGCCATTTTGTTTTCACGAAATAAAGGCATTTTTTTTTTTTTTTTCTTCAACATTTTTTTCCAACAATCTGCTAGCCGAATTACACTTATGTTAGAACTTTTATGGAACAAAAGTGCTTAATCATGATGAAGATTGCGTGCGAAATTGGAAGAAAGTGCAGAATCGCCAACTGCTTGCCGTGTTTTTAAGAATTGCTCATACACAGTATCCATGTACACGTCGACCTATTTAAACTTAAAAACAAATCCCAGAATTGCACAAAAATGGCATTGCGCACACTCTTGACTTTATCCACGTACACTGCGAAAGTCCTAGCTAGTAACCTTTATCGCCTTACTAAAATGTCGCCAAACTACCTGTTACAATATTCCAAAGATCAGCCCAAGTCTTAAAAACGCAGCAAGCAGTAGGCGATTCTACACTTTCTCCCAATTTTGCACCTAATCTTCGTCATGATTAAGCACTTTTGTTCCATAAAACTTCTAGCATAAGCGTAATTTGGCTAGCAGATTGCTGGAAAAAATGTTGAGTAAAAAAAAACGTGCAGTGAATCTTTACATTATGGTAACTGGACGATCTGTGGCGAAAATTTGGCGACAAACACTGCTACAGCAACCTGCTAGTTTTGTTTTGGACGCCATTTTGTTTTCACGAAGTAAAAGCATTTTTTTTTTTTTTAACTCAACATTTTTTCCAGCAATCTGCTAGCCGAAATACACTTATACTAGAACTTTTATGCAACAAAAATGCTTAATCATGACGAAGATTAGGTGCGAAATTGGGAGAAAGTGCAGAATCGCAAACTGCTTGCTGCGTTTTTAAGAATTCCACATACGTGGTATCCATGTACACGTCCACCTATTTTCACTTAAAAAAACATCCTAGAATTGCACAAAAATGGCATTGTGCACACTCCTGACTTTATCCATGTACACATCGACTTATTTTCACTTAAAACGTCAAAGAAAATTGACAAAATTCCAATTCTTCTTACTCTTGTAAAAAGCACCAAACATATAAGTGGGCGATTCTGCACTTTAGAAGCGAAATTCTTTTTAAGTACTTATTACCTAAAATCACGATCGGAATTTTCCGGAAAATGTCACATGACTTGTCTCATGATTTCTCATTTCTCTGAGACAAAATAATCTGTGATTCGAACTGTGTACTTCTCAGATTATTGATAGTAACGTTTATCACCTTGCCAAGGTGTCGCCAAACTACCTGTTACCATATTCTAAAGATTAGCCAAACATGCCTTTACTTCATGAAAACAAAATGGCGTTCCAAAAAAAAAAAACTAGCAGGGTTGGTCGCCAAAGTTTCGCAAAAAAATACCCAAGTTACCATAATGTAAAGATTGACCAAAATAAATTTTGAAATGCTAATGTTTCACTTCTTGCTTAGAAACTTGAGTATCCCATCATTTATATTAGAAATAGGAATAAATTATAACCCATGAACCTATTCAAAAGATAACCATATTTGTCTGTGAATCGCCAAAAATATTCCTCCAAAGTATTAATTCACACTCAAAATGACAATTGTAAAAACAGACAGAAATTTCAGATGATTAAAATTAAGGACCTTCTGTCGATTTTGGCGGAAATTAAGGACTTTTAAGGACAAAAAAATTCTAAGGACTTTTTAGGACTCTTAAGGACTATACGAACCCTGTTAAAGCTTGCCCGATTATCCCGAGTTATCTCAGTTCATATATATTGAAAGTTGATTATTACCCCGAGAAAACTCTGGCGAAGCAGAATTTCTCAGTACGATTTGTTTTAATAAGGTTTTACTTGGCCTGGAAAAAATGAAAAAAAATATCGAGCTTTGACTGGCAGTTTACCAAGTTTTGTTGGTTTCCCCGTTCTTTTGGTGGGACTGTTCCCTATTGTATAGTACACGTTGACTTGTGGATTAGTAATGTATAAAGAAGGATAGTTGCATTGAGAAAAAGTATAATAATGGCAATGATGCAAGATAGTGAAAGATATGATTTTTCAGACAGTGATTACGAAGAGGTGGACATTTTCCAAATGTTATTACTGCTACTGGAAAATGAATCAAATCCGACAAGACAGTGTACTCTGTGCTCCCGTAAAAGAGATTCCAGAAGTAAGCCAGTAAGAAAAGAGACCAGATACCAGTGTATAGAATGTCAAGTATCACTTTGTGTTGTTCCTTGTTTCAAACATCATCATACAAAGACTAATAATTAACTTTTTTTGGTTTGCCCGAGATAACTCGGGATAGTAAACTAATATTAAAACTAAATGCTTTTACACCTGTAAAAAATTAAAAATTTAACTTAAAACTTACATATTTTAGTTTTGTTTCCTTGTATTTAATAATAAATAAAAAGTTATGATTTTTTGCAATTTTTTTCAAAAAAATTTGTAAGGGATATGGTTAAGGACATAGAATAGAGCAATAGAATCTGCTGTAACTCAAGAATTACATAAAATTACAGGATATCAGAGTTATGCAAAGTCACTGATTAATGATTTGATTTCGATCCGGAAAATTAAATTATCATTCTTACGTCTAATGGCTTAAAAATAAATATTCCGATCAAATCTACTATATAATTCTTAAAAATCTCAGTCGGAAAGAAACCAGACTTAACAATTTTTGTCAAATTTCACATTTCCTTTTCTCTACAGAAAAATATGGTTTGAAGGTTGAAAAACATGCATCAACCAGGTATCGATTCTATCCAACTTCAGTTTTTTAGTACAAAAATGAACAAACATAACGCTATATTAGGACTCATAATAAAAAGGAAAGCCATCTGGACATTTATTAGCCTTTCTATAATCCTCACCGATTATTCGAATGAATTTATATGCAACTAAAATAGTTATTCATAGCATAACAGTTGTAAAATTTTTTATAAGCAAAGAGTTTGACGAAATTAATCATAAAAATGCTAAGGTCAAAAAATAAGTCAGACATAACACAGCGTACTCACTCTTTCTCAATGTTCAAATATTAATTTTCAAAACTTGAATATGTCGTATTCTAGCAATATGGTCTTAGCAAATAGCAAATCTCATTCGCGCGTTGTTGAAATTGCCAGATATCTTTCCAGAAGTATAAATGTAAGAAACATAAACAAATTGGTTTTTAATGGTGAACATCCACATTCTAGAAAACTGAAATTTTGAAATTAAAGTAATACTCCTAAAAGTGATAGATTGACAGCTCTAAATTCTAAGGCTACATTCAGTTATATTTCTCATAATTCGAAACTTTATCATGTTATTCGATGAGGGGTAGGGCTATGGCAAAGAGGTTAGAATAGAAGGAGGGAGGGTTCGCAGTTTCCTCCACTATCGGGGAATGAAACTCCACCGAACAAGCGGCGTCCATGTTTGTGTCTTCAAAACATTGCATTACGGCAGTGACATGTACGTGTTTCTAAGCTGTTCCGTGCATTTATTTTCCAGTAAAATTATGTTAAATTTATAATGAAATCCCCCGCTATTGTTGAATTTTTGTTTTAAAGTAATAAAGATGATATCCATAATTTACTATGTACAGCAAATTGTTAAGAAATAGTTCGAAATCTAAATGCATGCGCATAACATTAAAGCCTTTAAAAAATGATGTTTCTGCATATTTCACGGATTCGCTTAGGTTAGAAAATAAATCTTAATAAAATAAAACAGAATTCATTGATTTCAGTTTATGCGCATTTCATATTTATTAATCTCAAAGAAACTGCCTTTAATTAAGTTGAATTACAGAAATACACCTATATAAGTTTTTGGATACGTTTTTCCACATGTTCAATTGTGTAAATATTTTACGTAATTTTATCACTATACTGCTCAGAAATTTGTAAGTTTATACAAAAAATGTTTAACAACAGAACAGTTTATCTTAACTTAAAAAAATGAATTATAATTAATATATAAAGAAAGGCATTGCTTTATTTAACACCTTTACAATTAATAAAAATAGTAACAATTGATTTCTTACTTTTCATGAAAGTTATAAAACGAATTAACTAAACGTTCAATTATACAATTTAAATCCTACCATATAGCATTGTATCTTAAGGAACGAAGATACCAGCTATAAACAGAAACATTAAAATGTATTTAATATATTTTGATTATAGTTATATTAAATAACCTATTTTAAGTCCTTTTTTTCACATCTGGAAAGAAAACCACATGACGTGATATTTTTTGACATAGTTGTCATATTACATAAAAAAAGAAAATTAATACTTACGTGTGAAAAATAATGCCCGGAATTTTTTTCGAGAATCTATTTGTGCATCCATATGCAATACAAGCTGACATGCTTCAAAAAGAAAAGAAAAAAATGTTGCAATGACAGACTTCCTTGCACAAGTCACGGTGATAACAGGAAGATGGCCGCCAAGCTTCACCGTTTGAGTTGAACCTTCCCTCCTTCTATTCTAACCTCCTTGGGCTATGGCGCCCAGGCACCCTGGTGGTTAAGCACCGCAGTTCACCATGAAAAAAATTCTAAGGCTCAGCTGATAAACACCATATCCTTATATACAGACTCCCCAGAGATCAAAATAATCAATAGTTAGACCCAATTAATTAGTTACTACTAAAAACATATAGTGAATAGAATCTCAGAAAACAGTGCCTGTCGCTGCTTGCATATTTTTTAATCATTGAGGCCAGAAAACAGTGCTTCCTTTTATTCTGCACCGACTGAAGACCATCAGTAAAATGAGCAGTGTGGACAAAATAGGATGGAAGTATTAAATCAAGTGGCATCCATCAGTCGACGAACAACGTGAGTTTCTAATGGAAGGTTAAAATCAAAGAATAGAATGGTCGAGTATAAGTAAAAAAAGTTAATGATGGAGAATGTCAGATCGATATTTGTGTTTTTCCCTGGGAAATGGAGAACATCTAAGAGCGTTGATGCAGTTTCTAGGATGAGTAAGCACTAAACAGAAGGAAATTTTGGCAAGTTTTCTAATATAATTTTGAATTGTGTCTACTTTGAGATCACGGTGGATATACGAGTTTAGAATGAGGCGCTTTTATAATCTGAGTGCTTTGTTTTGAAGAACTTGGATATGTTGAAGGTGAGTTTTGGCAGCGTGGCCCCAGATTGGACGAGCATAGAGAAATGCTGATTGAAGATGATTATGATGCATAGAGTAATGCTGATTGAAGCATAGAGTAATGCTGATTGAAGGTGATAGATTTATATAAGATGAGTCTATTTGAAATGTCCATATGACTTCTGCTAAGGAGTGGTGCATAGTTGTAAGTGTGATATTAATTTTTTGCATAGTTTCCCTGAGATGTTTCAGAAAAGTTAATTTTGTTTTATCTAGAATTACTCCTAGATATTTATCTTCGTCAAATTAGTTAATTTCTTCATCAAACAGAAGAGGTCTTGGTGGTGTGAAATTAGTTTGTCCTTTACGAAAAATTATTGCTTTTGAATTCTCAGTGCTAACTGCAATCCTAGAGTAAATTTTTTAGAAGGTTGAGGTAATGTTGAAGAAAGAGTTGGACAACTGTAACTATTGAAGCTTGGGTCAGTCTGGTGCAAACCGCTGTGATCACGTATGATGGAGGCAGGATCTTGGAAGAGCTCCTAAATTTTCAAAGATGTTTTTCGGAAAATATCCTTTTATTTAAGAAAAATTTTCGCGAATATCCTCTACATTGTCTCGTTCTCAAAACCGAAAGTTCTCCTAAAGGTCTTATCTTCCTTGCAATCTTTTACAACACCAAGACGGAACATTCAGATAAGTAGAACTTCTTTTCTCTAAGCTAAATCAAATATCTGTCACTAAAGTACCTTTAAATTCATTTATTTATTATGATCATTATTATTATGCTCATTTTATTATGTTCTGGCATTAAATACTTAATAATTGCTTTAAATCATATGGTTCCTTTTTTTTTTTTTTTTTTTTTTTTTTGGTTACCATCTCGTAAGGACGCTATCCTTATCAGTAGCCCTTATCAGTAGTGTAGTCTGTTAGCACTACCCATTGGGGCCCCTTTGAGAAATTTCTCGAGAGGCAAAACACCCGATCTTGGGCCTCAATGAATATATAAATTTGTAGTTTTTGCTCCTTTAATCTATATTTCCTATCTATTTAAATTAAAAGTATATATTAATACAGTGTGCCTCAAATTGATAAAATAGTACACATAAAATAAATTATGACCATTAACTTAATAAATAAATAAAATGCTTATTTTCTAACTTTGTCTTGTCTGAGTCTACGAAAAGAGCTATAGTTATTTGTGAGCCATTAAGAATACCGCAAGAAATGTTATATAAATACGACGAAAGTACTGACCCCTGAGGCACTCAAGCAAAGATGTGTCTCGTGGAAGAAACTGTATTGCCAGTTTTCACTGCAAAAGTTCCGTCTTGGAGATAAGAAGCGATAATTCTTATGCAGTGATCTGGGAAGTTCAACTTGATAACTTTGTAGATAAGTCCGCAGTGCCATACCCTCTCAAAAGCTTAAGTAATTAGAAAAAGAAATGACTTGTTATGGTAATCCTTAGTTCAGAGACCTTCTGGCAAACATATCTGTTGTTAGTAATTTTCGCCAGGTCTGTTTAAAAATAATATTCCGGCTTTAGCATTCTCGCTAGCTGATAAATTAAATCACGCACCGGTAAAATACTTTGAGCCAGCTTATTTCATTACGTATGTAATCTTAGACTACGTTAAAGGCGTTTGAATTTAAATTGTCTGTTACTGATTAGTTTAAATAGCCAGGAGTGGGATTTTGTCTGTAGCACACTACAGTTGTGCTTTTATACTCAATTTAAACTCTTGCGGACAGGGTAGCTTCCGACCTGAGGCTAAGTGCCAAACGGAATTAAGTGGCACCCGGACTCAATTTAGACTAAAAATAAAAATTTAAAAAAAAAAAAAAAAAACTTTCTCCAGATCTAACATTTTGAATCTCTTTCAGTACTTTGTGAGTATTTAAGGCACAGTGAAAACTCGCCATCGGTCTAGTAGGGTCTGCAGAACTTTAACTATAGCTTTAACAGTATAATGAATTGAATTAGTATTGAATTAAGACACAATAACACGCCGAATAAATACTAATTCAGAAGTCAAACAACAAAAATCAGCGTTATATTTACATATGTATTTCACCAAAAAAATGGTTATGTATTTCACCAAAAAATATGAAATGCTTGCAAAAACAAATATTTTTGAAAAAGATTTATCAAAAGGCGAATGCAAATGCTTTTCAGTTATATCTGAGAAACTACAAACATTTCTTTACAACGGCAAATATCTATTTGTATAAGTAGAACTTAAAAACTATTTTAACGGGAAATTTTTACAGTTCGTACCATCGGCGCCAACAGTGGAGGAGGGTAAGGCCACTGAATACTGCGATTTCGATATGGGCTCGATACGAGGCGAACGGGCTAGGTGCGTGGATGGTTTTCGCGATTTTCCCAATTTGTAACTTGAATACGAACCAGTCTGTATTAGAAACTCCTCTACGAAGGCACCTGTCCTCTTGGACAGATAGCCCTCGTGTGCTTTGCCATATTCCAATTACCTAACTTTTAGGGTCGACATGCGAAAAAGATTTTGCTAATGCCATTATAGGTAATTTGATATTAGACTTAGATTTGAAAGACATGAGAAGTCAAGGTTATGACGGTACAGCAGCCATGTCAAAGATATTAAAGGGCGTAACAAGCTAAAGTTAGCGAAAGGTTTTCTTCAGGAATCTTTTATCGTTTTTGTGGAAAACGTCGTGCATTGGACTCCTTATTCTCTAGGTTTGGCAATTTCTAATGCACGTCACATTAAAGATATTTGTAGTTAATTACATAGCAGTGATAGAAAAATGTTACTTTTTTATAAACACTCGAAAAAATTCTGTTTTGTTAAAAGTACATAAAATTTGTGCCAATCTTCAAGAAGAGAATTTCTGAAGAAACTGGCATAATAAGGAATCATCTTTTGAAGCTTATATAAACTTGATTGATTGAATTGTTCTGCATTTGTGATTGGATTACTTTCAGTTTCAAAATTATTTTCGTACACGTTGGCATTTACTAAGAT